ATAACAGTAATAAAGGACAAAAGTATTTCAAAACATTTTGTTTTTAGCCCATCAAGCATCATAAATTGTTATGATTGAGACTTGAAGTAAATGTAATTACTCAAAACATTCTCTAAGGAAAGTATGCCAGCCTTCATAAATTTAATAATGGAATGGCAGAGTACTTAGTTTTTCTAAACAGCTACTAAAAAGGTCTATTAAATTTCATAAAGTGTAATAATGTCACACTGAGGTAGTTAGTACTTCAACAGCATTTGTTTGCAGCCCATCAGGTTTTATAAAGTGTAATGAGTGGGACACTAAAGTAATTGGTACTTCAAAACACTGTTTCATACAGTGTAGTGATGGTAATCTGAAATAGTTAATAGATACTTACATTTCCAGCCTTATCATCCACCTACTGTTAAACACAGTATTATTAAGTGTTTGAACAACAGAGCTGAAAATCAGCTGGGATGAAAACTAGCAAAACCAAATAGCAACATATCAAAATAGGTACCCCTATTGTTTCATCACCAACAGCTTGAAGAATATAAATACACAAACTGATAAAACAAACATGAAAATCAAGTTCAACACTAATTTACCTGCTCTATGTGGAAAACCTAAGTGTAGCCAAAAAAAAGTTGAACATTGATGTCTGCTGGAAATCTTATATAACACTGAGGCCTGTCTTTGTCGAAACTAAACCAAACTTATCTGACAATAAACAGAAAAATGTCATTGTCAGATTTTTATGTATATGGGCCGGATTCTTTACAGTAGGTGTCTGTGACTTCTTGGTGATAAAGTTCAACAATAAACAAACAGCACACAGTCCACTTGTTTTAAAATAATATATAAAATAAGTAAAACATATATACAAATGTTCCTTACACTGGTGGTTTTCACATTTGTATCCAGAGCTTTAAATAATTGTCTCTTTTTTCGTCAAAGTCCACACAAGCTGGATCAATTACCTTAGAATACAATTTTACAAAATGAATTATTCTTTCTGCTCTGTTATTACAATACAGTCTGTGACAATTTCACTTTAAAATCACTACTATCCACTCTTTATGGCTAAACTCCCAATCATGTAGTCTAGATCTATATATTGAACTAAATATCTGGGGCTCATTTTTTACCTCACAGAAGTCTAGAACATTTCACACACTACTAGATTTTAACATCTTCTCAACATCGTTCATAATAGTGCATATGCTAGCATTCGGTTTTACTAAAAACCCTTCTCAGGCAATGATCAGTTCAAAGTTTCAGGAGCAAAAGTGAAGCTGTTTGATTAACATTTAATTGAGGATGCATCTTGTGTATCTACAAACTTTCCTTAGTGCATAGCATTTCTTTGCTATCTGAACTCCCCAAGATGTTGAAGTGTTTAGAAGTGACATTTGTGTCACAATCCATCTTTTGCCACTGTTTACAGGACTGTGATACAAATGTCACTTCTAAACACTTCCACATTTTGGGGAGTGCAGATAGCAAAGAAATGCTATGCACTAAGGAAAGTGTGTGGATCCTGAATTACATATAAACCTCTGTAAAAACTGGTGCAAGCTGACAAAAGACAAAAGTACTTTGAACCACTATTCTATCCACTGAAAATATTTATTTGGATTAGTCCTCCAAGAAGTTTTCCTCAAATCAATCTAAACTAGGCAGTTGCTGCCAATTTCAATTTTGTTTGTTCATTCGTGTTAGTAGTTGTTGATGTTTTTTTAATGCTATTGTTGGATATACAAGACTGTTTAGTATAAGTCTTATTATTTAGTTCATTTAGTGATCATCTAATATTTAAGAATTATTTAATTTTCATAATAAGAGCGTTAAAAGTAATTATTTTAAAAAACCATAGTTATGACAAATTTCGTTATGTAACTCGGTAAGAGCCATACATAGTTTGTATAGTTTAATTGTTGTCAATTGATGTCACATTACTTGAACCTTCTGTATTTTTCTCATTGCCTTATGTGAGTATTGTTACATCATATGTCTCATAGTTTATAGAAAGTTCTATGCTTCAGTTGGATAATGTATATACATAGGTGACCAAGCAAGTACAAGTTAAGTTAAATTTAAAAAGATAGTAAAAAAAACATGAAGTTAGCTGGCATGTGAGTGATTAGTCTTAATGGGTGATTTCTATAGTATGTTTCACAGTTGTATTGTAACAACAGAGATAGGAAAAATAATTTGTCTTGTCAATTGGGTTCTAAATTAAATGAACCAGCCTGTGTGGACTTTTGATGAAAAAAATGGAGACAATTATTTAAAGCTCAGGATACAACTGCGGTAACCAACAAAAGAAGTTAAGTGAATTAAATCAGGAAATGTTAAATTTGTGAAAGTGAAGTTAGACTGCATGATTCTTAGTTTAGCCATAATGGGTGATATTCTAAATCAAGTTTCACAGTTTAACAGAGATAAGGAGAATAGTTTGTCTTGTCAAAGGGTGTTCTAAAGTAATTGAACCTGTCTGTGCGGACTTTGATGAAAAGGAGACAATTATTTAAAGTTCTGGATACAACTGTGTTTTCTTATCATGTAAAGAATTTTTGTACATACGTTTGACTTGTTTTGGATATATATTATTTTAAAACAAATTGCTTGTGTGCTGTCCATATATTGTTCAGTTTTATCGCCAACAAGTTACAGACACCTACTGTAAAAGAATGCCAACCCACATTTTCAAACTCTGACAGCTAGATCAAAATCATCATGTTAATAGTTGATGATGGTTCTGTTATGTTAGATCAGAAAAAATGACATATGTCAATGATTAATTATGATTTTGTTATGCTAGATCAGGAACAATGTGTTAGTAGTTGATGATGGGTTTGTTATGCTAGATCAGAATCAACAAATTAGTAATTGATGATGCATTTGGTATGCTAGATCAGGAAGAAAATGTTGACAGGTGATGGTGGGTTTGTTGAGCTGGATCAGGAAAAATATGTCAGCAGCTGCTACAGGATACTGTCACTAAAATTCACCCCTTTCTTTACCAGTAACATTGACTTCTTAATTTTACTAATAACACATAATTTCTTTAATTTCTATAGAGTTTGCCCCTCCAGTGGCACAGCGGTATGTCTGTGGACTCACAATGCTAGAAGAAACTGGGTTTTGTTACCTGTGGTAGGAAGAGCACAGAATTGTGTAGCTTTGTGCTTAACTTCAAACAAACAAACAAACTATAAAATATTTTCAGTGGCATCTGGCCATTGGACCCAGGCCAGCCA